AAGCATGTGTCCCTGGTGATCTGAATTGCTCTTGTATTCGGAGAAATGAAGGTGATTTTCCATATATTGGCAATGGCATTCTAGTGAGTCGTAGGCCATTAATTCATGAATGTGGCCCCACATGTCGTTGTTTTCCTAACTGCAAAATAGAGTATCCCAGATGGGCTTGAAGCACTCCTTGGAAGTATTCAAAACAAGAGATAGGGGATGGGGTCTACGATCATTGGATCCTATTCGTGCTGGTTCTTTTGTTTGTGAATATGCTGGAGAAGTTATTGACAAGGGAAACTTAAATCAGAATGAGGAGTTAGCAATTAAAGATGAGTATGCTTTTAATACTAACCGTATATATTCTCCATTTAAGTGGAATCATACGCCTCAGTTATTGGAAGATGTGATTTCAAATGACTCTTGTGAGGATTATGACATTCCATCTCCGCTAATTATAAGTGCTAAAGAGTTTGGAAATGTTGCTAGATTCATGAATCATAGCTGCTCCCCAAATGTTTTCTGGCAGCCAGTTGTTTATGAAGAAAACAATCAATCGTTCCTTCATATTGCATTTTTCTCTCTCAGACATATTCCACCAATGACAGAGTTGACATATGATTATGGGATTTCCCGTTCTGATTATCCTAAGGTAGCAGAATACCCAGAGGTAGAAAACAATGCTTATGTGGATCGTCGAAGTGCAGTGGTTCTTTTGGTTGATGGATTGTGTCACAGTTGCTTGCACATGAGCATGGTGTTTGGAATTGTACTTGTGACTAAGGTTTGAATCCCTACTTCTTTCAAGTATTGAGAATTTCTTATCTTTTCATATATGATCTTCAAAATAAATGCAGCCATTTTTTAATGACAATTTTCATTTTCTGTTCTATTTTTGAAGTTTGTCACATTCATACTTGTCAAATAGTAATAAATAATGCTTTGTGGCTGTCCCTGCAAATGTATAAGATCTTCTCCTTCCTGATTATGTTCCATTCATCTAGGCGTAGTTCATAAACTTCATTTATTGATGCCATCTGATTTTACTATTGTTGAATATAATACGATCATATAAATATAAACTAATAATATCACTTTTCTAGCAATTCACTCTCCTAAAGAGTTTCAACTTTGCACTTACTTTCCTATGCAAGATGTCCAATCCTTCATGTCAAATGTGATTTGTCAAAAATTTTCACGTTTGTTTTAAGTTTCCAATTTAGCAAATACACTTGTTTTGCTGTTGTTTTATGGATGTTATTATTGAAAGCATATGTTTATGCTTTTTAATATGAACAAGACCAATGGAAAGTTCTTATCAATTATTTCTATCAGATACGTGGACATTGTTTACAACACAGCAATCTCTTTTATTGTCTAGAAATCACTTGGCGTAGTTCCATTGAACAAGAAGATAACAAAACTTAGAAATTGAACCTAAGTTCTTCCTTTCTTTAATGGTATTTACTCCCTCTGGTTCATGTTATAAGACATTTGATAACTACTTCATGGTTCTTAAAAAAAATTAGTTGAAATCTTAATCTCTTTAAAAAAATTTTACATATTTCCAATTATACTCTCATTAAACGCGGATATTAGCCCCTTAATAATAACAATTGAAATTTCAACAAACTATTTTTTCAAAAGGAATAATAAATGCGATAAGGTATAGTTGAAAAAAAAAATTATAAGAATTACTCAATATCTTATATTTTGGAACAAGCAGGACTTCTAGGAAATGCTATATATATATTTTAGATAGACCCGAGGGAGTACCTTGTTGGGGTTAATGGTCCTTTTCATCTTACATACTGTATCATTTTGAATAAACCGACAGGTGAGGATTCTGCAGATATTTTGGAGAACCAGATCAAGCTCCAATTTTGTGGATGTGCTTTTTTTATAAGCCCAGGTATGCTTGACTGGAAAGTAAATGCTCAGCTTTTTTGTTTATGAAGAAAAAGTAGTTTGTAAAGTTGTTTTGAAGAAGTTGCTAGAGAATGACCTGTATGTGGTTACTAGAACTAGAAAGGACGTGCCTAGTGATGTTCATGGCACTATGTAGTGTGTATAGTTGGATGATTTCTCTTTGGTCTTGGTTTAGTGATGTGAACTGTATGTAACTGATGTTTGTAAATATGTTTACTTTAGGATAAGAAACTTCCTATGCCTGGCTTTTTGAATTTATATTTTGGTTTTGAAAGATATGATGAGCCTTACTTTCGACCCCTAATACTAGTCTAGAAAAAATTTGTGAATGATATGCATTCAGTGTGTTATTGGACTACATTGAATCAGTTGCATTCATGTATATATCTCAAAGAGTGACATGAAAAAAAAAATGTAATATTATGATTATAATTCTCACTGAATGTGGTTTGAATAAATAAATAAATAATCTTTCAAAAAAAAGAATATATAATTAATTAATCTGGTGATGGTTAGGTGAATAAATAGTATGAATATAATTAAAATATTAACTATTTGTATTGATGTTTCATGTCAGCCAAATAAACATTGCTCATTTGGGCTATCTCATGGTCCTTATGAGTACTTTTTCAAATTAGGAGGAGGATGAAATTGAAGAGGTGAGGAATTACGAAAATAAATTATGCGGATTAAAAGCAAAATATGTATAGTGAATTTGAGGGGTAGTTTTCCTTTTATTTATATCATCTAAAATAGATTCAGCTAATCTGAAATTTATCTCAGTGATGATCACCTATGCAAGTTTAATATCTAAAAATGGTATACGTTTAAAACTTGAAGAGAAGATTATGATGGATTTTGGGGCCAAATTGTGAAAGTAGTTTCTTTCACGTCCTACTAATTTCTTAACTTCAGAGAACATGTTGTTATTAATTAATTAATTAATTAGTATTATATTTATTCCACCACAAACTAAAAGGCTATATTAAAAAATCAACTGATTAGTAATTGAGTGTGGATAAAGTTTACCTCCTTAACAAAGGTGGACTTGGGGTGTCTTTTATTTTCTTATTCTTTATTTTCTTCCTTTTCCATTTATGACCTACAGAAGGTTGATATTTAATATTTAATAAGCTTATTATTATAATTTTATATAAAATGTATAAATAAAAATTATAATTTTAGATTGTTTAGATTAAATTTTAATGGTTTAAATTTATTTATATATTGTTATGAGAAATTAAAATAATAATTTTATTAAATATTAATTCATTGAAACTTTTTTTTTTTCCAGTTTAGAAGGCCACGATAAACACCTGCAAAAGATTAAGGTTTAGTCATGTTTAAAATCATGAGGTTTCTATAATCATGTTATGATTTATCAAAAATTATAATATTAAAAATATCATATGGAGGTTGGTGAGTTAGGAGATTAGTACATTGATTAATTTATTTACAGATATAATTAAAGGTGATTATTCAATCTTTCATAATAAAATTTTTAATCTTTTGAATAATGTCAGAATACGAGTGACGATATCTCCAACAAGGAAACTTTGATGGAAGAGTAAAGAAGGAGACGGATGTCTCCATCAAAGGCACAAAGGCATCATCGTGTCATTAAAGGCTAACGTTGTCACGCAAGCCAAGTGGATAGAGCACAAGTTCTCAAGAGAGCCTTTTAAAACAAAAAACAAAACAAAACAAAATAAAAAAAAAACAAAAAAATTAAACATCCGGTATTCTCCGATATTCTAAAAAGTTTGAGATTATCATTTTTACATGTCTAGAGTAATACAAATTCTCGCTGTATAAAATTATTATTATCAATAATAGTTTCATGAGTATTTCAAAGATGCTTGATATTTTTGTTTAACACAATTATTTATTTTAGAATTTAAACTTGAAATTTTCTGATAAATTAATTTAACTTCCTTGAGCCTACTTTTAGCTAGCCTTTATTTAACTTTGTTGTAGTTGTTTGTAATTAAAAATATATATAGGTTTCAAAAACTCATTTTTTGGAAGCACATTCAGGAAATGAACTGTACAAGTCCAAATAAAGTTCAAGAAAAGCATTTTTAATGAGTTGTTTACTTGTTTTCGAGTTTAGGGAAAGCACATTTTGGAGAGAAACTCCAGTGGATTTTTTTAATTTATTTATATTTTTCAGCACATCAAATTTTGTTATTTATATTTATTTCCATGTGTCGAATTTTATACCAATATTACATATCAAATTCAGGCTTTTTTCAATAATTACATATTTAAAGATACTTTTGATTTATATAGTCCAAACAATTTTTTATTCTTTATTTTTATCATACACAAATGCCCTCCTATTTGAATAGATTTTATTTGAGACACAATCAGATATTAAATATAAATACTTCTTCCAGCAACATTGAAACTAAAATTTATTATATTATAAAAGACAAACTCCTTTTATTGGACTCAAATATCAATTCTTATTGGTTGTATAAACAATTTTTTTAATTTATTAAACTGTCTTCTTAAGTTTGACAAATTTACCTTTAGCAGACATACTTTTAAATTTTTGCAAGCTTTTAATTAGTTTGAAATTTTTTTTTTGGTCTTTAATTTTATAAAGAGTTTTTTAATTCTTTAACTCTAACACAATTAATTTTATCAATAAAAAAATTCCTTCCTACATTATATTTTTAAATATTAATAAAATATTATTAAATATTGATATATTAAATTTAATTTTATAAAATAATAATAATTAATATAAAAATAATCATTTAAAATTAATGATATTGTGGCTAGATCATTGAAAATATCTATTATAAAACTCAAAAATTAATTTGAATTTTTGTACTCCTGTTAAGAAATATAAAATATTTTTTGAGAAATTAGAGGTTAAAAATGTAAAGTATTTTTAGTCTTTTGAGTTATAATCATTGTCTTTTTTTAAGTGTTTCTATTGATAATAACTTTATATTTATTATATGGTATTTAATAAAAATAAATATAAAAAATAAAGTTAATTCAAAAGTAAGTAATAATTTTATTAAAGAATAAAATTTAATTAAAAATATTTTATATTTTTAATGGAAGAGTATAAAATTGGAGAATGGAAGATAGAAATAAGCCTAAAACAAAAATGAATACCCCTCTAGTTTTTGGTGGGGAAAAAACGAGGGAGAATATAATATGGACTCCTCTTTTCGGCGGGGAAAATAAAGCGCGGGAAATGTGTGAGTCAACGCTTCACTCAGAAATCAGAATCGTCTGTTGATTCCACAGTCCTTTTACTTCATTCAACACTTCATTCTTCTTTGTTCTGGGAATCATATGTATGCAGAATGCAGCTGCGAAACTGCTGTGTCAGTGTCACCAAAGGCGATGTAGTGTGGGCTAGGGTTCAATTTCCCCACCAATTTTGGCCCTCTCTGGTTCTCTGCACCGACTCTCTCGGCGTCTGCGTCTCCTTCTTCAACCACAATCTCTCTCCCAGGTACGTCATCGAATCCGAAGTTGTTCCCTTTGAGGAATGCTTCAGATGGATAATGGGTCATCAACAGGGCGTTAAAAAATGCGACATTTTCTATGGGTCGCTTGATTCTGCGCTAAAATTGATGGGTCGGAGGGTTATTTCGAGTCTGAAATGCCGGTGCCAAATGATGCCCCCGAGGAACTTTGATGGTGTTGGTGGTGGTGGGAATGATGGGAGAGAAAGATCTGATGGGTCGAAATCGAATGTTTGCTTTCAGCCATTTGTAGTTTTGGGTTTTGTTTTGAGGGTCGCTGTTGTGCCATGGGTTGATGAACTGGATTTTGTTGATGCTGTTAGAGCTGTTGCCCAGGTTCAGGCTTTTCGTGACTATTGTTCTATCGAGAAGAGAATGGCTTACGAGAAGACTCAAGGAGGTATGCATAATGCATTTGATGTGCTTGTTAAAATGAGGGTTGATAGTCCTTATTCTCGCCTCTCAAAAACTTTATCCAGTTTCTTGGGCATAGGCATAGTCTAATTTCCATCACATAGTGGCCCTGAAGGTCTACATCTGAGATTACATTTAGAGGAATTTAAATGAGTTTGATAGAGAGAAATACTGTCTTTTTATACCAACTGAGCTAAAATGTCAGCTCCTAGTTAAAGTTTTGATTAGTGTGTTTGATTATTGCACTGGTTAAAATATTTTTTGTGGTTTGGAGACTGTTAGATGCTGTGATTTTGAAAACTTAGATTGAAATGAAAAAAATCTACCTTTTCTAATCTTAGGTTGTGATTGCGAACTCATTTGCCAAGTACCTAGGTTATTTTTTGTGTGAATCTATAGAGCCTGATATTATGAGCCAATTGTGCTTCAGATTGATATAATAATAGCTCATTTGTATACCACACCCCATCTGGCTTTTATCAAATCCAAGGTGTAATTCGAGAAATGAAAGTGCCCTTATTTGGATGGCTATATTAATTTTAGGGAAAACACGGTTATTGGTCCCTATATTTTTAATAGATTTTGCTTTTAATCGCTATAGTTTTTTTTATTTATTGTGTTTTCAATCCTTGTAAGGACTCAACACTGAAACTATAGGGACTTAAGAAACAAGGCCATCCAATCTTGTTGAAACTATAGGAACTGAAAATATTGAAAAAAAAAAAAAACTACAAGGACTAAAAGCAAAATCTAATGAAACTACAGAGGATGATAAGTGTGGTTTCCATTAATTTCAAAAGGGAATATGACAACATGATTTTATGCCACGTGACATTATTTTTGAATTTAAACCTTGGGAAAAGCTGGTTGTTGACTTGATACAAATTAGCTGCCTGTACCATTGTGATTTTATTGTGCCTTCACTATCCAATTACTTCCTGACCCTGTATAAGGTATCCTTTTGCTAAACTAAAGATGCCATATATTGATGTTTCCGTGCTATAAAATTATTATTTGTATTATGATAGGCAATAATGTGAAGCTACTTCGATGTTCATCATTGGGTGAGAAATGCACGAACTTTCTCGAGTATCAGATGCTTTAGAACCCCAGCATCAATGTCAGATTCTATCAGAAGAGGTGGAAAAGATCTTGACTATTGATTCTATAAAGACATTGAACTCAAAAACCTCTGTGGTGAAAGAAAATGTCAAAATCTTGCGGGAGAATCAACTTCAGATTATTCCACAGACCCACACTAGTAATATGAATTACTACTGAGATATCTCTCCACTTGCATTCTCTTTCCTATCATCCGTTTTATGTGATGGGAGAAAGCCTACAATCCCTAAAGCTGAGGCTTTTGGGGGTTAAAAATATATCAGAGCAGAGCATTCTTAAAGCTGCTTCAAAGACTGTTCTAAGTTGAGTGAAGCTTTCAGAAGAAGAAAAGACACTGCGATTGAACTTTTTTACACGTTGCCTAACATCAATACCGCTGCTTGCCTGCCCAAGAAAAGGAAGCAACTCGACCATCCTGTTCCATGTGATTGTTCTTTCAAGCTTCAGAAACCTTCACCCTTTCCTCAACAAATGAAGAATTTCATCTTTGAAGATGATTGTATCAGGAAACAAGGAACTTAATCCTGATTTTTTCGTTTTACCATCTACATTAGCTGATTGTTTCGCTAGTTCTAGAATTGAGATGGATTCACATCTTGCTTCCATTTTACCGCATCCTGTAAAGGTTTCTGACCTGGGTTTGAGACTGGCATACACAGGTGGATGCAGTTTGATGAATTTGCCTGACAATGCATCTTATTACATGTCTCTCTTCAAAGAAAAGCCATGTCAGATAGATTTTCCCACAGAAGAAAGAGTTCAAGAAAGTGAAGGAAACAATCATGTGTCAGAATTTTCCACACCCTGCACATCACAAAACCAGAATGTCTGAACACAAAAGCATCCAGAAGTATGGTCAGAGCAGCATATGCTTTCATGAAACTGCAACGAAATTTACTGAAGAGCTTAACTCAGGATCATTGTCCGACTCTCTGCTTGGTGGTCAAAATTCCAATAATTATGAGGATGAGGTTGAAGCGAAAGAAGTGTCAAACAAGGTTTTAGAAGGACCTGACTCTGCTCTTGACAAGAAGATGCTGCAAATTAGTACATCAAACAAATCAGCAAAATAAAACTGTCTTCAAGGTGCTGCTTGGAAAAGAATAAGAATCTTGATCAATTTGATACTTCTTGTACTATGATCAATTCAAGAGTTGAGAGCAATTAAAAACACAAGCTTCTCGTGCTTGTTCAAAATCCTTGCACATGAAGTTTCCCAAGAACATCAACCTACCATCGAAGTCAGAGTTGATAAAGAAGTTTAGAGTGTTTGGCTCTGTGGATTATCTTAAAACAAAGGTCTTTAGTTTTTCCAGCTCAGCTCAGGTGTCGTTCCTTCAAGAAGCTGATGCAATGGCTGCTTATTTCCATGCCAAAAGAAAGAAGGTCAGTTTGGGCAACGCAAATATCCAGTTCTGGCTTGACCCAAGCGAGCACAAGAGAAGATTATCTTCTAAATATTGTACTCCGGGGTCAGCAAGTGAACAACCAAAGTCTCTGAAGTCATGTTTGAAAAGTTCTAGTTCTGAGAAGAAAGATAAAATGAAGAAGCCCTACAAGGTAAGGTTTACAATAGTAACTTAGTCGATACTAATGTATTGAAGAGACCACTGTATAATGGAATTGTTTTTTTTCCTAGTCCTTGTTTCTATTTTCCTTAACCATAGGTTTGTAAATGGGTAAGCTAAGACATGTTTTCCCCCCCTCAATTCATACTCCTGTGTTTTGGCTTGGATTATCTGGGGTGCGTTCGAGAGAAATAGAGGAGTAGAGCAATGGGTTCCATACACACTGATAAGATGTAGGTCTTATATACAATATATATATATATATATATTGTGTGTTGTGCACTCAGTATCCTAGACCTGTCCAATGTTGAGCTAAGAGGATTTTAGCAGGCCTAAACTAATCCAAATTGAGTTAGGTCAGGATTTGTTTGGGTGGAAGTTCTACCACTAATGCTACTATATTTCTAGAGCTCAAATGTGCTATCATATTCACTTTCCCTTCGAATGTACCATCTAAATTTGTAAATAGAGAGGATAAAAAACCTTTTCACCCCTTAAAAAGTTTTTTTTTTTTTAAGGCTAAACCCATTCTCCCTTCCATTTTTCATCTTTTTAAGCTTGCTCAGTAGCAACTGATAGCACGAAAGGGAAAACTGCATATCTGCCAAAAAAAAAACAAAGAAAGAAAAGGAAACTGTATGGGATGATGAATGGAATGACTCTTGACCAAAAAAAAAAAAGAAAGAAAAAAGAAAAGAAAAGGCCATTTTTGTAAAAGTTGATTGTTACGTTTGAGTAATGGTAACATGAGAAAGTATTTTTTTTTTTAATAACCAAAGGTTCATTGTTCAATTTCTACCAAGTGGTGATTTTAAGACTGACATTTTATGGAGATCTGCCTGAATTTTTTTTTTTTAATTACAAAAGGAGGTAATAGACTTCAAATTAAAAGGGAAGTAAAAGTTAACTAACCCTTATCCATTGGTGGATTTGGGGCCCGAGGCCAATAAGGGTAAAACGATTTTTGAAGAGACACGAATAATATATACTTCATTGATGGGAAAATTTAATTTGTCAATGTTTAGAACCATATAAACTATGTTTTATTACATGTGTAAGAGTTGAGATTCAAACTTCAATTACTTATTTAAATAATAATGAAATCATTATCACATATAACTTGATTTGCTAAAAAAATTAAACAATAAATTTAATATAGAAAGATCAAAACTATTTCAAACTACATAAATAATTTACTATCTAGAAAAAATTTTAAAAATGAAATAAGTGTTTTCACTAATAATTTAAGAATTAAATGGTTTTCATAAATGGCTCAATAAAATTTAATCATTCATAATACTTAAAGCATTTTAAAATTCCAATCCTCTCCCACTTTTCAAAATTTCATGTTCTCACAGTCAACTTCACTCCTCCTCCAATTTTTAAAATTTAAAGTTTTAGATTCATTATATTTTCTCTTTTCTCTAACAATTTTTTACCTCAACTTTTCACCTAAATTTAAGTGACTATCATCTTTCTCTTTCTTTCTTCCTCTTCCCTTCTTCCTTTCTCAATTGGTGAATTCAAAATTAACTTATCAGTGGGGCAAATTAATACTCAATTTATATTCACACAAGGTATCTCAAAATCGATGGGAGGTAATTGCTCACCCTCACATGTATGTAGATCCATCACTGCCTATGTCTGTAGATTTACATTTAAAAGGTCATCATAGTCTAGGATAACTAAATACTTCGAAAATAGATCCATAATTATATTTTGTTGATATGAAAAGAGTGCATGATATGCCCGTCAATCTATGCAAGTATCTGCTTGCTTAGTATGTTTGTGAGATTCTAAATAAAGGAAGAATAATAGATAAGTTCTAAAAAGATTTATTAATTTAAATAAAGTATCAAGTACCAAACTTAAAAAATTATAAATTTAACTCTTAATTTTATAATTTTGATGTGATCAATTTATAATTTGTATTTTAAAATTTTAATAGTAAAAACAATGATATATTCTTCACCTATATTAAAATTTTAAAAATAAATTATAAATTTATTATAATAAAATTATAAAAGTAAAATTAAACTTATAAATTTGACAAAGTTTTGACACTTTAACATAATTTGAAAAGACCTTTCGTTCGTGATTCTCCCCTAGGTAAAAGCTAGATACGTGTAACTTATTTTGATTTTTTTTTTTTTTTTGATAGTTTGAGTGACTTCTATTCAATTAGAAAACAACTTTAACTTTTCTGAACCGAACATTTCACTAAAGTTGAATCCTTTTTTAAAGCTCATCATTTCTTTCGTAGTAGTAGCAACGAAAGGAACCTAATTATAATACCTCTGACAAGCTTTGAAATTTGAAATATACTTTTTAGAGCTGCAAAATTTCACTAGGAGTGTTCAACTAACATTCATTCTTATTGATTCAGTTTCATTTTAATTATATTAAAATGAGTCTCGCCTGATTAAAAATAATCGAGAACGAACTTGCTGGACAAGATAAAAATGAGTTTGGAACTAAACGAGATATGAGATTGTCCTCACGACATCCAATCCTATCCCAAATATTAAATATATTAATATATTAATATAATTATATTTATATTACTTATAATTTTAATACTTGCTATTCTAATCTAAAACTAAAAGTTTTTTATATTGATAATTTTAATGATATAGAGTAAGTAGTACAAGTTAATATTTTTTTTTATAATATATTAATTATATTAATATAATTATTCTTATATCTACTTATTTAATAACTTTTTTATATTGTATTTTTTGCTTTATTTTTAGGAGGGTGAGGTGACTAGCTTAATATATTTCAAAACTGTACCAGACTTGTTTATTTTTATTGCTCTTATAGCCTACAGATAACTTGTAATCAATGTTTTTAAAATTGGATAGAAAATTGAACCGAAAAGATTAGTAGTTCATAGTTCGCATGGTCGAACCGGGTTGGACCAATGATCGAATTTGTGATGTAATACTTAAATTAAAAAAAATTATATATGTATTTGATAATCTAAATATAAAAAATAAATATAAAATTGTCACTTAATTTAAAAGTAAAACTAAATATTTTAATTTTATTATAACTTAACAAGCCATATGATATAATATAACATCAAATAATTAAAAAAATTGATCATTTTCTAAAAAAATTGATATAAA